GGTCCACTATTTTTATAGCAGGTTTATTCATAATAACCAGAAACTGGAAACAACCCAGATGTCCTTCAACCGAAGAATGGATATAGAAAGAAGTAATTTCAGACAGGAATCTAAATTTTAGGCTAGAACAAGGAAGTAGGCTTCAGACATGAAAATGACTTTGGGGTAGGACAGGGAAGTAGGCTCAGATATTTTGGTCATCCGGATAAGCCCTTAGAAACAGTGATCATGGGAGTGTTCACAGAATTGGGTTTAATGCCTTGATTTTTCTTTGACTATTTGTTGTTTATTGTCTTGCTTGTTCCTTGACTATTTGCATCTATTGTATTGCTAGTTCCTCAACCTAGAACTGACCTTAATACTTGCATGTAATTAATGGTATAAAAGCAAAAAGGAGGAGGGGAGATGGGAGAGGAGGTTTCTAGGGAGGGGAAATGGGGAAAGGAGATGACATTTGAAATGTAAATAAATAAAAAAATTTAAAAAAGAAAGTATGGTTCATTTAAGCAATGGAATACTACTCAACTATAAAAAGAAGACATCATAATTTTTTTTTTTAGGGAAATGGATCAAACTAGAAAATACCATCCTGAGTGAGGTAACCTAGCCACAAAAAGACATGTATGGTATATACTCGGTTATAAGTAGATATTATCTATAAAGTACAGGATATCCATGCTACACTCCACAGACCCAAAGAAGCTAAACAAGAGGGAAGGCCCAAGGGAGGATGCTTGAGTCTCAATTAGAAGGGGGAATAGAATACACTCCCATAATCTAAGGCCTGTTCATATTAGGTGAGACAAATGTGGAAAGAGAGCTTGGTGAATCTCTTCGTTTCGTTTAGAAGGTTTTAAAAGATGATCTAGACACTGACAGTTCTAAATTTAAGTTTCTGGCATTATTATATCTTGTGTCCAGGATATTGCCCCAGATTCCCACTAGGGTGGAGAAGAGTTGGCTCTTGACTACAAAGGAAGTACATGACCACACTGGCATGCATGACACTTTGTCTAAGGACAATTATAAAAAGAACGACCATAAGCCTATGTACAGAGAGATTGACACATGGCTCTAATTAGGTAAAGTTGTGCAGAATAAAAGACATTAGGTATTATGTACACTGTAATATTTTTCTTTACTTTTCTGGTGGTGGCATACAAAACTTAAGGAAAATCCTTGACCACAACTAATAGCTGCTGGCATGTAAAATGTGCATTGTGTGTTCAAAAGAGACTTGTGGGTACAAATGATCCTGCATGATGTGTTTCCCCATCAAGGCAGCAGCTGCTAAACATGCTAATCTAATATCTCTCTCCCTCGGATTTCAGGATTGGTTCAACAATAAGAGAGCTAAATTTAGGAAGATTCAGAGAGAAATACTAAGGGGCAAGATCATCACTCCTACCCAGGAAGAACTTCACATGAAGACTTTGGTGGAGTACAAGAAAATCATCATTTTCCAGGAGCAAGTGGGAGATGGGCTCTTCTGGGATCACCAGAACTTTGACACCCATGCTGGCCAGGACAGCCCTATCTCCCTTCTCTTCGATTAGCAATAAAGTACAGAACTATCCATTTATTCCTTGTGTGTGCGCTCCACAGAAAAGGATATGTTGTATTAAAATTTCTGCAAACAGTAGCTCAGAGCAGCTGAGGGGGCTTCCATACATAGTGGTTACACCCTCCCTGTCAGAACAAGGGCAGACTCTGCCTCTGCAGCATTCACGGGCAGTACTACTCTTTCTTCACATTCAGTTGAAGCCTCCTAGGTGCCTGTCCTAGGTCCTTCCCTGGGACTTCTGTGGTCCTACTGGGTTCTAGCCTAATGATCCCGCCTTCATGGTTTCTGTGAGAAAGTCTTGGGGAAAGGTAATGGGACCAGAATCTGAAAGCCAAGAAAGATGAGCCCTGGACACCAGCAGCAACAGTAGATGTGTGTGGTCAAGGAGCAAACATTGGTCACAAAACAACAGACCTGTCCAGAGAAAAATAAGGAGCGAGGAACTTGGGGATGGGTGGGCTAAGCTACGCAGGGCTTGGTAAGGAAAGTGCACCTGTATAATTTCTCCATATTTTTATTTTGCTATCCTTGTCCTGACTCAGCAAACACATTTCATCATTTTTCCCACACAGAGGACTGTTTAGATGTGACTTCATCTTGTCAAAGCATCAAGGTTGTCTTATGAACACCATAGTGTATCCAGGGAGATTGCTCAGTGGATAAAGGGACATGATGACATTCCTGAGGACCTGGTTTGAGTCCCTGGGCCCCACAGGATGGAATAGAGTCTCCCAAGTTGCCCTCTGACCTCCACATGCTTGGTTGTTGTGTTATGCTTGCACATGTAGTTAAAGTAACAACACAATAAAGAACTGTAGTTGAGAAACAGAACTGAATCACAAGACTCAAGATGAGGTTGTTACTTTATACAGGGTGTTCCCAAAACCCATCTCCACCCAACCTAAAAGGGGGGACTTCTGCCCCTAGACCAAGCAGAGAGGGGCCACCCAGAACCTCCTCTGACAGGCGATCTGAATTCTTGCTTAGGCTTCGAGGCTAAGCACTGCAAGGGAATATAAATAAAAGATAAAAATATCTATCTGGGTTCCCTGAGGGACAAGCCTGACTGCATAGGGGTTGATGTCAAAAGTATCCCCTCTCCAGGAAAAAGACATCGGGATGGGTATGGCCCTCATGCCTCACTGGACAACGACAGGGGGACTGGAGCCATTACAAGGTCCCCTTCAAATACTGGAGGTCAGGCCTCTATCCCCGCCTTCGCAAGTTTAGAATTGCCACAGCCCTTGTATACTTAGAGAAGGGAGGAGATGTCAGAGGCAGCCATGCTTACACACTGAAGGCCTAAAATCAGCCATAGGCCTAAAATCACCCATAGGCCTAAAATCAGCAATAGGCCTGTCATACATGTATACTAACACCAAGTCTTGGGTCTCAGTGGAAAAACATTGAAACAGATGGCTATAAGCTATTGTAAACAGGCAGCTTTTGTGGAAATTTACCAGCCTGAATAGTCATAGACCTTGTAAATAGGTAGACTTGGCAGACAATACCAACTTAGATAAGGACAAGTGAATCATAGGCAGAGTCATAGTGACTTGTCCCCTGAACCTTCACCCAGCTGATACCCAGTTCTGAAAGATTATCTGTATTCCCCCTGAACACCCACGCTCCAGTGTCATCCCCTTCCCTACATCCTGCCTTTCTGTGTTTATAACCCCTGTGTGAATGAATTACGATTTGAGAAAAAAATAAATTATTAAAAAAAAGAATATTAAAAATTGAGAAATGAAAAAAAAAGAGAAACAGAACTGAGTCTATCATATATGTTTGCTTTTTTTTTCTGTGCAGCTATGCTTCTTTTGTTGGGAATGGGTATAAATACAGGAAGACATGCTTGAATGGCAGTCACCTTGTTCTAAAAATTATTTCATTTGTTATATATAATATTGCGTATATTATTTAATTTTATATAATAATATATTAGATATTATATTATTTTACATCACATGTATTAATATTACATACATACAAGTAGACAAACATAACACACAAGTACTCCAGACAGCAGAACTAGTAGAAGTATATTAAATTTGGGAGTTTCTTCTTTGCTTTGACCTTGCTGAGACAAGGTTTTTCCTGTTGCTTCTGGGGCTATGGTGCCTACTAGATTCATCTGCCTCCCCATATTGTGGTTTATCCTGTGTGTGCCCTGCCATCTGCCTGTTGGACTGATGTGATTTAGACACTCATCATTACTTCCTGCTTTCTAATTGGGTCCCAAGAACAAGCAGAGTTTCAGGCTTATGTTTTAAGTACTTTTACCCCATGAGCCATCTCTTCAAGCTTTCACTTTTTTTTTTATACAATATATATGACACTGGTCCTATATTCACTGTGATGATCCCCAGGCTTCTGGCCTCCCTCACTTCCTATGGATGGTACTTTGTTTTTTCGTTAACCATGAGGGAAAAGAGTTACTGATTACTCAAAAGAGGAAACATAGTATTAATATAGCCAGCAATTCAGCTTCTTGGTATATATCACAAAAGACTTAAAACTTGTAGTTAAAGAACTGTCTGTCCATAGAAGCAAAGCATGTGGGCCACAGACCAAACACATTCAGTTATCCCTTTATATGTGGTGGTAAAAGTAAGTGGATTAGATAGATATACAATGCCTTTGAGACATTCAGCTTCAAGAAAGCAAAGATTCTACCACATGTAGGAACACACACATGCGCACTGAAGAAAGTCATAAGAGCAACAGGGGAATTTGAAAGGGGGAAGCTCTGCGGGATTTTCTGCCACTGGTAGTGCCTCAGGACAAAAAGACAAAATTAGTGCAATAGGCCAGAAGCGAGCCTTGGACAAAGGTTTAATAAGCACAGGTTTTGTTTTAGCACCATAAAATACTCTGAAAAATCTTTCTCCAGAAGTTTGGAAAACACTGAATGCTCTACACTTTATAGACTTGGCTTAGACAGGGGCTTTGGGGTTCTTTTCTAAGACTACCATTAAGTGAATGAAACACATCACTGTGGGCATTATGGGAGCTTGTTTCTTTGTCCAAGGTGCATGAAGAATTTGACCTTAGCCTCAGAGGCCAACTTCCTTACCTCTATCATAAATTCAGCTGAAGATTTCATGGTTTCAGGGCAAAGAAGGGAAGCAGGCCAAGCCAAGTACCGAACTAACCTGACCTACTAGGGAGGCTGAGACAGGACTTGCTAGACGGAGAGCAAATCCACCTTTGGTAATGTATCGTCTGCCTTAAATAATGTAATTGATTCAGGATTTAACTTGGGGAAAGAGAATTGGCCTAGCATTTCTAGGGCTTCTGAGTTCAATACTCAGGATGCGTTTCTAGTTTCTATTTGTTTGTTTGTTTTATTTAAATGAAGAAGTGGGCACCAGGAGAGAGTAAAGGAGCCCAAAGTCGCAGAAAACAGTAGATTCGGGGGAAAAAAAGCATGTACTTACCTTTGGTGTGCATCAGGATACTGGGTCTCTTGGAAAGCCTTCTCCAGTTCCCTCAGTTGGGCATAGGTGAACTTATGGTATTTTATTTGCCTGTTGTTGGAGCGACGGGGAACTACTCCAGCTGCTTTAGCAGGCTTATTGGGATGGGCTTGCATTTCCTTCCTTGTTTCATGGCTGTAGTTTCCCTTGCATTTAAAGCTCAGGTCGTCATCGTCCTGGCCTAGCTCGTGCAGAACTCTTACACCTCTTCCAAAGCGGTAGCGGGCTGCTGCTGCGGCCCTCTGCTGAGACTCAGTCAATATTTCTTCCTCATAGAAGTTCACCCCGTAATAGTCGAGGTCAAAATAGAAGAATTTGCTCTCCATTGCTAGAGCTTAGCAGATGGAGCCTACTCTGAAGCACCTCCCAGTTCACAGGCGAAAATCCTGCGCATGTCCCACACTACACACTTAACTCGCTTCTGGGTGTGGCTAAGCTTAGGTATGGAAGTAGGGGGTGTTGGGTATGTGTGGGCGTGAAGAGGAGAATCCACCCCACAGGAGCATACAGTTGCCATTAGGAGGCCTGACAAAGGAACTGCTTCAAACAAGATGCTCACTTTAGGATATATTCAAGAAAGGAGACCTGAGTTGGACCTGGATTCAGGTATCTCTCCAGATCCCAAGAGAGGCCACTGAGGAGGACTAAGAATAGATATTTAAGGTTATTTGGAGACAGAGAATAGGGTGGGGCTAATAATCCAAAGAATACCATATTAAATGTGGGGAACATCTCATGGCCCCACCTTCCAATTTCACAGCTCAATGTTCTCCATGCTGGAATTAAGTTGACATTATGGATTAGGGGCTTCTGCTCCATATTTTTTTTGAAGACACTGAATGCAAAGTTGGTTTGGTCCAACTAGGCACAGGAGCAGAATTTAAAGCATTTTCCTTGGTAAGATCTAGTAACAAAGAAGCCCCAATGATCACTGTGAGAATGTCACCCCTGTCTAAGGATGCTCACAGACAAAAATGTCAAGGTAGCATGAGGGTCCTGTCCTCTTTGTGTTTCAGGGAGAGATCATTAGAACAACCCTCTAGAATAGAACACTTTTCACAAGGGTTAAGTTTCCTTCATGAGTACACCACCATTGCTCTTTTCAGAGACACCAGAAGAGGGCATCAGATGGCTGTGAGATCTCAGTGCTTGGAACTTTTTTTGGTGGGAAAAGGATCACCTTTGTGTCCAACAAAGGAGCATAGGAACAAAGTAAAAGTATACTGACAAGAGAATTTCTTTTTGTAAGAATGTGTGGCTTGAATCCAAACCAGGCTAGTGAGAATTCTTGGCCAACATGGACCTTGTCTTTCATCTCTGACTAGGTGGTGACAGTCTATCATCCCATTGGTGGAAACTTAAGTTTAGAATTTGAGTGGATTGGTTAATCACTACAAAATGGAAAGGGGTCCATATCAGGGTAACTTTGATAGAAGAAAACCTGCTTTTCACACTAGGAAGGGTTTCATTATGAAGAGATTCTAAAATATCAAATGTAATCAGTTTTGTTTCTTCATAGGAGGTTCTTGCAACCTGGAGAGACATAGTATAGCCAAAGATTACAGAGCTGCAAAACTGGATGGTGAGCAGGAGGATAGATAGCAAAAACTATTTCTGCAAAAATTGTCTGGTTTTAGAGCCAGGTAGGTAGCTCTGTGGGTAAAGTGCTTGTTACCAGTGCCCAATGATCTGACTTCAGATCTCAGAAACTACGCCAAAGCTAGAAGGATTGGGTTTGAAATATTTCTCAGTGAGTAAAGAGGCCTGCACCAAGCCCAGTGAGTTGAATTCAATCTCCTGAACCCGATGCTAGAAGGAGAGAAGAAACTCTCAGTAAGCTGTACTCTGACTGCCACACATGTCATGGCATGCATGTACATGCATGCTATTGTATAATAGGCTTTTTTTTCTGGAGATATGCAACACACACACACACACACACACACACACACACACACACACACACAAAATTCCATAAGGGAGGTCAGTGGTAGACCAAAGTAACAACTGTACCAATGTCCAATTTGGTCAACTATTGAGTTTTTTTTTTTAAATTGGAGTTACTAACAGGAGTATAAGTGACCAGTTACGTATGAGGAACAAAGATAGCACAAAGTGGCTATATTACCAAAAAGCTCACCCTAACACAAGTGAAGACTCCTCTAAACCCGTACCACTGGAGCTCTCTATGAAAGCTGCGGGTAGCTTGACTCCCAAAATACTTCTTTTCTTCCCCTCAGTTTGGCTGCTCAGAGTCTCAACCCCTTGCAGTTGTTTAATCCTCTTTCTACCGCTGAGTAGTGGCCTCCAGGATGCCTCCAAGCTTCTCCGTTGTCTCCAACATGTGGCCTTTTGTTTACTCCCTGGAGTTCATGAGCTTCCTCATACTTCTCGGAACAAAAGTCAAAATTTGGGGGGGATTCAGACACACACACATACGTACACACAACACACACATCACACACACACACATATCACACACATACACACACATCATATACACATACACACATACACATACACATGTAGTTTAGGAAAATGGGTATAGTAGGTTCTCCTCTACAACCTGTGACCTCTCTAGATATGGATAATTGGCTGGTTTTTATAGTACAGGCACAGACTTCCTCCTATTGAATGGATCTTATGTCCAATTAGAAACTTGTGGTTACTCCCAAGATATGAATGCCACTATTGCACTGTTGGCTTATCTTCTGTGGTGGTCATTAATGTGGTTTGTGGGATTTATAGCTGAGTAGGACCATTGACTCCTTTTCTCCTTTGGCAGCTTGTGTCTCCATTTGACATCAGGGAAGAGGCTTTCAGGTCAGGCTAGTTCCAGCTTGATTCCTGCTGTGTGCCTGAACTGTATAGTGTCTGCAGCAATTTCTTGGACACACCAAGGGCAACAATACCATATAATTGTCTAGGGAGTTTCTTTGACCCACTCTGGTTAATATCTCAAAAGGAGATTTCCCTTGCTTGGTACCAAGCTCATAATAATCATCCTGATGTATTGCAAAGTGATGCCAAATCATGCTTTCAGTTTTCATTTCCCTAATGCCTAATGGTGATTAATATTGCCCCACACTGTATTGGCTATAATGCTTTTTTAACCTTTTCCCTACACAAAAGATTTTAAATAATATACAATTGTTTTAGTTTTGTCTCTGTTATTTTGATCAAATGTACTGGCAAAAAGGAACTTAAGGCCATCTCTCAGCTACAATCCATACCTGCAGAGACGTCAAGGCAGGAAGTCCCATCAGCATGTCATATCCACAGTGAAGAAGTGAGAGAATAAATGCATGCATGCTTCTGGTAGTCCGCTAATTTTCAGTACTCTTACACAGTCTAGCCCCCCCCCCCAAGGGAATGATGCCACCCACTCTCAGGTTGGTTTTTTCCATTTCAATGAATGTAAGACAGTCTCTCACAGACACACCCAAGGTCAACCTGAGCTACACAATCCCTGAGTGCAATGCTCTTCCCAGGTGAATCTACACTGTGTTGAGTTGACAATTCAAACTAACCACCACGATGATCTAAAATGTAAATTATAGTTGTTTTATTTTCACTGAATTACTCAATTTGAAAATATTTTAGAGAGACCGATTTATTTTTCAGTGTTCCTGTCACCAGGAAAGAATTTAATTAAAACCACTGTGCACTATTGCTACCAATTTGAAGAAACTTTGTATTTCACTTTTTAAAAAAATGTCCTAAATTTTTTTAGGTCAGCAGGACAGTTTATCAGATAAAGATGTTTGCTTGCTGCCAAGCCTGACAACTTGAGTTTAAGCTGTTCTAATACTAATGAGTTCTAATACTGTCCTTATAGCCCCCAGATAAGTGGACCTCTCACTGCTTAATAACAGAAGCTTCTTTTTCTTTGTAACACACAGAGGCGACTACAAAATGTACAACTGGTCAAAATGCAGAAAATAAATGGCCACGGGATGCCAGCCCCAAGAGGTACTTGTATAATGCAGCACCTGCATGTAAGACTCACAGAACATGGAGGATGAGGGAATGGAAATATTGTAGAAGGCAGAAGAGCAGGACAGCAGCTGTGAGACATAATACTGTTTAGGTATGATAGGGACACTGCACTGACAAAATCTCAACAATATGATCACCTAACAAATCCCTGCATAATAACAATACCAGTTGAAGTAACTGAGGGAAATCTCATAAGGTCCTACTCCTAAGTGAAGGGCTACAGGCAATTGATGCTGCTGAAAAGGGAGACAATCTATTTTGTTCAGGAACAAACCTTCTGATGGGTTACCCAATCCCAAGTCAGCAGCCCCAAGCACAAGTACATGACAGCATCACTAACTGGATTCAGTAGGTCATATTTATGTAAGAATAATTAAGAAGCAATGGAATGAAGAGAGATTGGAAGGACAAACACAGAAGACATGAAACAGGATAAGAAGGGATAGAAATGATGTTAATGTGCTACTCATGTATGAATATCAATACGAAATCTCATTTAATAAAACTGAAACATCAAACACAGTAGTAGATCAGGCTCTGAAATGGCAGCCCACCCCTACTTGGAGATGGGAGGCAGAAGCAGGAAAACCTTTGGAAATTCATGCACCAGCTAGTTTTGCTTATATAGCAGCGAACCAGATAGAACCTGTCTCAAACAAGATGGAAGGCACCTAGGGTTGTCTGCAGACCTCAACATGGGTGCTGGAGTAAGTGTATATCCACCACATACTCACAAATGACATAAAAAAGAAACCACTTCTCCTTTTA